TGGGGACAGATGCAAGTAAGGGAGTTGGGTCATTATCTGATGACACAGTTATGTAAGAAGGTCAGGGGAGTAAGGCTAGCTTGAATTATTCTTGCGGAGAGGTGGGATGGAGACGATGGGTCAAATGTCCTCTTTCAGTATTGTAATCTATGGTACCCCCATTCCCAGATTCCTTCATTGGTCCTCACTTTATAAAATAAATTTTAAATACATGAGTAATTTTTCTCACTTGAATCATGCCTGTGCTCCCAGCCAATACTTGACCATTAGTGGGCACTGCTCTCACACCATGATGTTTGTTCACCGATCTGGTGTCCTTGTGGAGAGCCAGCATTGGCCAATGGGCCAAAATGGTGTCTTCCTATACTGTAACCATTTTATGACTCTTTAATTCTTAATGGATGCCTTTGCCCTTTTACTGGTTTAAGAAATACCACTGACAGGACATTATATTTTTTAAATTCATTCACAGAATGTAGGCATCACTGGCCAGCCCCAGCATTTATTGCCCATCCCTAATTGTCCTGAGGGCAGTTAAGCTTCAACCACATTGCTGTGGGTCTGGAGTCACATGTAGGCCAGACCAGGTAAGGATGGCAGTTTCCTTCCCTAAAGGATACTAGTGACCAGATGGGTTTTTGACAGTGGATTTGTTACACTCCTAAATGCAGAATTTTTTTTAAAAACCGGGTTCAAATTCTACCATCTGTATTGGTGGGATTCAAAACTGGGTCCGCAGAGCATGACCTGGGTCTTTGGATTAACAATCCAGTGATAATACCACAAAGCCGTCGCCTCCTCTGAACATACGCACAATTAATCAAGCAAACTCTACCAGCAGACCAGAGCAGGTCAGTTACAGACAGGAAGCAGGACGTGGTTCTCAGCTTCTCAAACAGCAGCGCCTTCAAACCCTGCATGGCCCTGTCGGTCAGCCCTGACTGCGGCTCATAGTCATTGAGGTGGCAGCAGAACTGCCAATCCATCTGGTGAGTGTGATTGGTACTTTCCAGCCTTCTGTCATCTATTGTGTACTGATGCTCAGTAGAGCAGGACAGCATGAAATGACTGTAGACCACTAAATAGTTCACCTGAAACTGCTTGCTGGAAGGAGTAACTGTGCAAACTGCAGGGCTTTATTAAAGTGAAGGTCCAGGATTGGTGGAGGTGATCTCCACACAGAAAGCAGCTTGTGAAACTCAGGCGTCGATAGGGCGAGGCCTCTGGCTAAGGCCACTGAGGTACCAGGGCCTTAATTCTACAGCTTTCCATTACCTTGGGCCTAGCAACTACATCACTGGCTCCCAGTTCCACCAGGAGAGCCTGAACTGGGGGTAAGAGGGGGAGGTATGGCATGGGACGAAGGTGGGTGGCCTTGGTTCGAGGAGTGGAGGCACCAATCAGGAGGTTTCCACATGTCCAAAGGGGCAAAGGAACTGGGTGGGTCACTAAATGGAAGTGCTGTTGTCTGAAAGAAGGCAATTCTCAGTCGAAGAGGCAACGGTAACGTTGCACCACACAAATGCTAGGCAATGACCATCTCCACTAGGAGACAATCTAACCACTGCCCCTTGATGGTGTTACCATCACTGTATCCCCCATTATCAATATCCTGGGGGTTACCATAGATCAGAAACGGAACTAGACTTACCGCATAAACACAGTGGCTACACGAGCAGGTCAAATACTAGGAATGCTGCTGTGTGCAACTCACCTCCTGACTCCCCAAAGCCTGTCCACCATCTACAAGGCACAAGTCAGGAGTGTGATGGAATACTCCCCACTTGCCTGGATGGGTGCAGATCCAACAACATTCAAGAAGATGGACACCATCCAGGACAAAGCTGCCCAATTGACTGCCATCACATCCACAAATATCCACTCTCTCCACCACCAACGCTCAGTAGCAGCGGTGTGTACTATCTACAAGATGAACTGCAGAAATTTGCCGAAGATCCTTAGACAGGTTCTTCCAAACCCATGACTACTTCCACCTGGAAGGACTAGGGCAGCAGATACATGAGAACACCACCTCCTGCACGTTCCTCTCCAAGCTATTCACCATCCTGACCTGGAAACATATTGCTGTTCCTTCACTATTGCTGAGTCACAATCCTGGAATTCCCTCCCTGAGGACATTGTGGGTTTACCTACAGCACACAGTCTATGGCAGTTCAAGAAGGCAGCTCACCACCACCGTCTCAAGGGGCAACTAGGGACAGGTACTAAATGCTGGCCCAGTCGGCGGCGCCCACGTCTCACAAGTGAATAAGTAAAAAAAAAGCAGAGAAGGAGCTGGCAGAGGCAGTCAAGGGCATCACACTTTTAATCAAGGGCCCTTTCCTTCTGCAAGAAATTTTGTGGCCTCACTGGGCCAGCAAAGGTGAGTGGCATGCTAGCCAAGCGGCCTGGCTGTCTTCCAGAGTCCCCTTTTCAGAAAGTGGATCAATCTCAATGCTGGGTTGTAATATCAGGCTTCACAGAGATATATGGCTCTATGTCTTAATCCACCTTTTTCCCGTTACGTGCACTGTTTCACTTTTCATTCCCTTACACTTTTGTAGGCCTTTGAACCTCATCTCTCCTGCCCAAACACATCACTCTATCTGGCTGAAAGCTTTGAATGTAGACAAGTCAATTGTGGAAAAGATCTGAGTATGCTGCTAACGAGAACAGAAGTTGCTGGAGAAGATCAGCAGGTGTAGCAGCATCTCTGTGGAGAGAAATCAGATTTAATAGCAGAGGCATGGTGGCTCAGTGGTTAGCACTGCTACCTCACACCACCAGGGACCTGGGTTCAATCCCAGCCTTGGGTGACAGTTTGTGTGGAGTTTGTATGTTCTCCCTGCCTCTGTGAGGGTGTGCTCCCACAGTCCAAAGATGTGCAGATTAGGTGGATTGGCCATGCTAAATTGACAATTGTGTACAGGCAAGGTGGCTCATTTGCAGGGCAATAGGAGTTGGGCCTGGGTGGGGGGGCATCAGTGTGGACTCAAATAGCCTGCTTCTGCACTGTAGGGATTGTATATTTTAAGAAAAACATTTTGGGTCATGTGACCCTTAGAACTTGACCCAAAAGGTGAACTCTGATTTCTGTCCACAGATGCTGACAGACCTGCTGAGCTTTTCCAGCAATTTCTATCTTTGCTTCTGATTTACAGCATCCACAATTCTTTCGGTTTTTACTGAGTATGCTGCTAATATGGACTTAACTGTCAAACATGCAGCATACATCCTTTGGATTAGTGTGTTCATGACTGGTCATGGAGTCATACTGGAGGCTATTCAGACAGAGTGACCCTAGTGTTCATATGTCCAGAAAGCCTGGGCTTTGTAAGTTCGGAAGGTGGCAACTGAAAGATAATATTGTATAAGAGTACACGAGGCCAAAAATGTATGAAAAATGCAGGATCAGAAAAATTCTCAAAACTAAGTCTGAGTCAAAGATGCAGACACAGCAGGCTCAGGCTGGGTACAGACATCAAAAGCTTCTTATACACAGATTGACCAATGTGTCGAAAGGATTCCTGTGTAGAGGAGGCAAAAACGGGGGCAGATTATTGACGAGGCGATTGGAACTGACAAAGGGAAGGGAGAGGGAATTAGGAACAGGAGGATGTTCCTTTTCCTCTCAATGACTGATGAGTTTTCCCTCGGCACATTTCTCCCACAATCAATGTAACTGTTAAAATCTGGAAGATTAGATTGTATGAATCATTCTGAAGCAAGCTCAAAATCCTATCTGCTCGGAAGATGGAACAGCACATCAATGGAGTTTGGTTTTGTATCTCTGGATGCCTTGCTCCTTGTCTCAAAGTTTGAGTTACAGATAACTTTGAAGAAAGAATGAATCTTCAATAAGGGCAAATGAGATTGAGAATTCCAAATATTTTCTGGCAGGGTTTAAAGGTAGGATTAAGGTCTGGCAGCCACACATGGGTTAAAGTGTGACATGCATTGGTTTGAACTGGACGGAAGGAGAAATGTGTGCAGCAGAGATAGTTTTCTTTTGTTTTAAAAACCAGATAAAACAGGAGGCTGCTTTCCTGAAAAGGGCTGAACATCTGGCACACATGTTAATCTTTGGCGCCAGAAATGGTTGGAATTGAGTTCCACAACTTTACAACACACCCTGATCACAAAACTCTGCCGTTTGCCAATTCGCAAACACTGAAGAGAAAATAAAAAAAGTTAAGCAGGCTTCCAATTCCCTTCAGTTCCATGCAAGTGCGTGCGGAATTTCAAAGAGGAGGCAAGACTGCAGCAAGCCATGTGGGAGTACTTCCATCGCTCTCTGACCAAAATTGTAGTCTACTTACTTATTCATAGAGTCACAGATTCAGACGGCACAGAAATAGGCCCTTCAGCCCAACTTATCCATGCCAACAAGCTGAACTAGTCCTACTTACCTGTGTTTGGCCCATGTCCCTCTAAACCTTTCCAATCCACACACCTGTCTATATGTCTTTTAAATGTTGTAATTGTACTATTCTCCACCACTTCCTCTGGCAGCTCATTCCACCCTCCGCATGAAAACACTGCCCCTCAGATCCCTTTTAAATCTTTCCCCTCTCACCTTAAACCTATGCCCTGAAGTTTTGGACTCCCCTACCCTGGGGAAAAGACCTGGGCTATTCACCTTATCTACAGCTAAGGTCTTTTCCCCAGGGTAGGATATTGTGCAATCATCAATGAACACCCCAACCTCTGACCTTACGAAGGAGGGAAATTCACAGGTGAACTCTGGAAATAAATAAATCTCAGTCCTTCTATCCCTTTTAAAAGTGTCTATCCTCTCTATAACCAATTTTATCATTCATTCCAACCACATGAGATCAAACTGTGCACTGCATTACGGCTGTCTCAGGGAGCAGTGCAAATCCTCCATTTCCCAGTTTATTAACCTTCCGGTGTTTCTGGTGGAGCTTCTGTTTGTTAAACCTCAGGAAGGTTCCTCCCAATGAATAGCCACTCCCGCTTGCTGGCGGCGCACAGCTTACCTGGACAAATGAACCCTCTTCTCCGTGAACTGCCCGTTTCCATGTACAGGGTCCTCGTGGGGTTCGTTCTTAACCACCTCCACGCCCTCGCCTTTGTCGCTCTGCTCGTGACTGTGCTTGCTGATGGTGTACAGTTGTCCTATCCTGTACTGTAACCAGAAAAGAGGGGAAAAAAAAAACAATCATTTCAGTATCGAACCGCTCGATCTTTCTCTGACTCAGCCACAATAGCCAGCCAGAAACAGTGATGGGAAACAGAATGGAGTTGGTTAGTAGCTTTGACAAGTATTTAAATTTTTTGAAACAAAAAGGTAATTGGGGAAATAGAAACCTCTTTCAGAAAGCTGATGCGACAACTCAGTGGGCTGAATGACCTCTTGCATCCCTGTGACGTGTCATGGTGGCAGAGGGGTAATGTCATTGGATTCGTATTTCAGAAGGTCAGGTTATTGCTTGAGGGGCACAGGTTTAAATTCTACCATTCACATTTAATTAATAATCTGGAAGATAAAGCTAGTCTCAGTAACAGGGGCTGTAAACTACCATCAACTACAGAGCAAAAACCTGTCTGGTATAGTCATGCCCTTTAAGGAAGGAAATCTGCTGTCCTTGCCTGGTCTAGACAATATGTGACACCAGACTGTTAACTCTGAAATGGGTAAGTGAGCCACTCTGCACCAGAACAGCTGGGGGTGACCTCATTCCATATACATTACCACCCTTTGCATGAAAATGTTGCCCCTCAGGTCCCTTTTAAATCTTTTCCCATCTCACCTTACACCTAGTTTTGGAGTCCCCCACCCTGGGGAAATGACCTTGGCTATTCACCTTGTCTGTAGCCAAGGTCTTTTCCCCAGAATAGGATATTGTGCAATCACCAATAAACATCCCAGCCTCTGACATTATGATGGAGGGAAATTCAAATGCTGATCAACGAATGACAATCAACTAAATACTGACCTTGGCAACAGTGCACACATCTCATGAAGGAATAAAGATTCTTTGACCATGAATGCAATTTCTCAAATAAGGGGAAATCCATTCAGGACCGAAAGGAGGAGAATTTGTTTTGTTTTTACACCAAGGGTGGTGAATTGTTGGAATTCTCTACTCCAGAGGGCTGTGGAAGCACAGTCTGTAAACATATTGAAAAGTAGAGATTTCTAAACGCCCGTGGCGATAGTTTGGGGAGAAAGGCACCGGAGCGAATGACTGGCCAAGCCCAAATGAAAGCAGAGAAGGTTTGATGAATTGAATGGACTATACCTGCCCCTATATGTCTCTATGAAATAATCAGTGCCATAATGAGTCTCAGGTTGTTTTCCAAGCGTAAATTCCCCCAGAAGTTAGAACATTAATCAGTAGAATTGGTTGCTCCTGATTCCTAAAACAGATCCCTTTTCATTGCACATTACAACAGTGACCACAGTGGTTAGCGCTGGTGCCTCACAGCACCAGGGACTGACTGGGTTCGTAATCCAGAATTGGGTAACTGACTGCGTGGAGTTTGCACATTCTCCCAGTGTCTGCATGGGCTTCCACCAAGTGCTCTGGTTTAGAATTAGCTTTATTGTCACATGTAATCCCGTGAGTACAGTGTAAAGTTTATCAGTTGCCACTCACAGCGCCATCTTAGGTACAAAGGTACCTAGGTATAGATTCTTACAGTACAAATTCTCATGAAAAATATTAGCGAACTTGAATTGAATAATTTATTGCCACACGTATTTTACAGTGAGAAAAACAATAAAGTCTCTCCAGTGTTACCACAATCCGGCTCCATTTTGAATAATTTAAGAAGAAAGGAAAGAAACAGAAAAACCCAGAGTTTAAAGAGAGTCCATCAGTCCTGAGCCAGCTCATCTTCATCCATACCTGCAACATCATCTCTCCTCCTCGCTGCCATCTACACCGGACCCAACCAACATCAAAGTCACTGATATGCAGCCACCATCTTTTGTCATTGGGTCTACCTCGTTACACTAATGTAGCAGCTGCTGATTCTAATGCCAGGTCCTGTGCCTGCTCCAGAAAAGTAAGTAAGGGTTCAGTCATGGTCCGCGCTGGGCCCACTCGAGATGCACGCTGGGCCCACTCGAGCTCTATGCTGGGCCCACTCGAGGTCCGCGCTGGGCTCACTCGAGCTCTATGCTGGGCCCACTCGAGGTGCGCGCTGGGCCCACTTGAGGTCTGTGCTTGGCTTACTTGAGGTCTGTGCTTGGCTCACTCGAGGTGCGCGCTGGGCCCATTAGAGGTCTATGCTGGGCCCATTAGAGGTCTATGCTGGGCCCACACGAGGTCCGCGCTGGGCTCACACGACCTTCACACCATCTTAGGTACAAAAGTTCAAAATCATAAAAGCTGTGCAGGTTGGGTGGATTGGCCATGGGAAATGTGGGGTTACAGAGATAGGATGGGATGCTCTTCACAGGGTCAGTGCACACTTGATGTGCTGAATGGTCTCCTTCTGTACTCTAGGGATTCTACCACACTTCAGAATCCTTCACTTATTGACTGCAAAGAGATTTAGGATGTCCTAACTCAGTGTAAGGGGCTTTAAACATTTAAATTTGATCCTTTCATTAGCTCACTAACACCGATCAGGTAAATTAAGAGGCACAGATCAGGGATCTCTCCAGAAATCTAATTTTGATAACTTCCAATTGAATCCTTTCAGCTTTACATTGGGCTGAGATGGGAGAACGTTGGAGAATGGGGTAGCACTTTAACAGACAGGGAGTTGTGGAGTGGGAACAGAAGAAGGAGAGCAGACTGCCATGTTCTTCAGATGAGGTTGTAGGGAGCAGATTGTAGTAGCAGCTGTGGCTCAGTGGATAGCAGCCTTGCTCTTGGATCAGAAGGTTATGAGTTCAAATCCCCCTCCAGTAGATCAAGCATAAAGTTTAGGCTCTCTGATGTCCTTGTCATTATCACTTTACTGCTGTGGTGGGAGCTGGTTGTGTACAAATTGGTTGCTGCCTTACAACATGGCCTCCTTTCAGTGGACATGCAGGATCTACTCAGGTAGTGAGGGAGTCAGAATTAATATCTCAGGTCAATGATCTTTCTTCAGGGCTGAGGGGGGGCAAAGTTAAGAGTTTGGAAAGGGTTCTTAACAAATACATAGGCAAGGTTGGGGGGGGACGGGGAGAAAGAACAACAGGGGAGAACTGTGGCAGGTGGGAAGGCTGGACATTGAGACAGGCTAATCAAAACGAAGAAGTGCTGGTCTTCACCCATACATGTTACAGCATTTTTAGACTCAATGTCCAATTCGCCATTTTCAGATCAGATCCGCATTCTAGTACTTTCCTCCTCTCACACACTCACCAACCACACCTCAATCCCTTGCTTAAAATCGGTTACACCTCTAACATTTCTCCAATTCCGATGAAAGGTCATCTGCCCAAAATAGCTCTGTCTGTCTCCCTCCACACCCCACCCTCCCCCTCCCCCCACATCAAAGCTGCCTGATTGCTTTCAGAGATAGCAGGAACTGCAGATGCTGGAGAATCTGAGACAACAAGGTGCAGAGCTGGACGAACACAGCAGGCCAAGCAGAAGGGTCTAGGCCCGAAACGTCAGCCTTCCTGCTCCTCTGATGCTGCTTGGCCTGCTGTGTTCATCCAGCTCTGCACCTTGATTGCTTTCAGCATCCAATGCAAAAGTACTTCACTGTGTAAACCACTTGGAGATGTTTTGGGGCTGTAAAAGATGCTACGTAAGTGCACACCTTTGTTTCAAGCGGGCCGATCTTATTTTTAAACAATTCAGCGCGCAAAGGGGTCAAATCCAAAGGTAGCTGAGTGTTCTTACTATCAAGAGATTGAACCAACAATAGAGTGCAAAAGTTCTGAGACTTATGCTACGGGAGACTGCAAAGGAGCAGACAGCTCGCTCCGACGTGTGCACTCGGGGTCTCACATCATCAAGATGGCAGTGGAGAAGGGAGCCTGTGTTGGGGCTCATCCGCTCCGACAGCTTTCCTTTTCCTTTTTCTCTTTTCTTTTTGTAATTTACTTACTCACTTACTTCTCTTACCATCGGCAGCGAGGAATCCCAGTGTGGATTTGGGTGGGATAACAAAGTGTAGAGCTGGATGAACACAGCAGGCCAAGCAGCATCAGAGGAGCAGGAAGGCTGACGTTTCGGGCCTAGACCCTTCTTCAGAAATTCAGGATTTGGGTGGACCCAGCACAGGCCTCGTGGTGGCAACGAGTGAGCCCCTACTTACTTCTCCAGGTCAAGCGTGGGAGCTGGCATCACAACCAGCAGCTGCCACATCGGCGACACGGGTGAGGTAGGCCCAGTAGCGGAAGGCGCCGCCTGAGGATTGGGCGAATTCGTCTAGAGTCGGGTCTGGCGTTGTCGACGGTAACAGGGCATCGCATCGACACTGAGGTGGGCCGAGAGATGCGACTCTGACTTTGGGGGGTGCGGCGCAGGCGGTGGGACGGCGTGGTGGAGGAGAATTGGCCCAGCGGCGAAATATGGCGCCTGAAGAGTGGCGACTTCATCGTTGGTCGGGTATCGGGTGCAGACGGGATGAGGCGTCGGAGGAGGAATGGTGGCACAGTTGTCACTGATGAGGGGCTGGCTCAGGACCGATAGGCTCTCTTTCAGCTATGTCTTGCTATTTTTTCCTTATTCTTAAAACTATTCAAAATGGCGCTGGGCTGTGGTGACAGTGGAAAAGCGTTTCACTGTATTTTACTGCTTTTCTCACTGTAAAATACACATGACAATAAAAATCATTCACTCATTCATCAATTGGAGCTGGGAGCCAAATTCTCCAATTCCACCCCTATCGGTATTCTACATGCACACACACAATCCATCATCTCAACCAAGGTCCAACTCCCCCCTCACCCAGACAGTGTGATGTTTAACAGATGATCTCTTTCCTCCCCGGACTCCTAAAATAACACAAGTGAGGCAACCACGTCACTTTGATGTCGAGAGCTTGCTAAAAATAGCTTGCCTGCTTCGTTGCAGTTAATGATTTGGTTGCAAATGAGAAAACCGGCCACACTTCAGTGCTGTTCAAGCACATTCTCCAGAGAAAAGTGCTAAGGGCTGCAAGACTCACAATAAATCTTCCAACACGCAAGGAAAGGTTATCAATTAGCTTCACAATTTGCTATGCTGC